AATAATTTTCTACTGTTGTCTCTTGTGATTCGCTTATCCATAGAATATCTGACAGCCATTTTTCCGTATTTTGCGCACACACACACAGACAACCACTTTGTAAGACCCTAGACTAAAGTCAAGGGAAAAAGGAAGAAACAATAATCAAAATGGAGTCAACGTCATTATCTTTCCTTGAACACGACGACGTAGTGTCTTTTTCCTCAACTCCTATGCAGTGTTTTATGATTAGTGGGGCAAACGAGAGCAAAATGGGTTTCCACTTTGAATAATGAATTTCTATTCTGTTTTCCCCGCAGAGAAAAGTATATCCCACTTTGTTTTCCACTTTGCTTTTGAGAAATTACACTTTGTCTTTTTTCATATTTTCCGCCTCAGAAAAGCAACTCATCGATAACTGTTTGTTGAACAAATGTGAGCGAGAGAACAAGTATAATTTCTCTTTAATTCTCTAGTTTTTATCACGATCCGACATCGCTAGTGTCTGACAATTAACACCATCAGGGTATTAGGAAGAAAAAAATCTCTTCTAGCCGCAACTGGACAAAAATTTCAACTGTTCCGATTTTGTCCACTTTACGTTTCGTACTAAAGTGGCAGAATTTTTATTAAAAACGCTACTCCTTTGAAACATACCCCATGGTTAGACGAAACCGTATGAATTTAACATAGTTGATTTTGACAAAAAGTGTTCATGAACATCAGCAGTATGGCTAAAATTTTGCTTAAAAATCGCTTCTGTAAACATCTTTGGTTATAATGATAATCAATGGAATTCAAAGTTCATGTGTGATACGTGATCACGTATCACACATGAACTTTGACCTAAGGCTTTTTTAATGTTTTAAAAAAGCCTTAGGTACCCGGCTCGTTAATTGTACGGGAGCCGAGCCTCGAACCGTGGCTTTATGAGCTGGTTCGAGTGCGATCTGATTTTATAATATTACTGTCGAACCGAGTTACGAGCAGCTATCTGGCGAGTGCGAGCCGGGGGAAGGTATGGCTCGCCCACCTCTGGTATTTATAACAATATGCCACTATGTAGATTTTTGGCAGACTCGGATATTTTGCTTCGAACGGTACACCGTAATACACCTGTTGAATAAGATTCATTGTAACATAGATTTATGACCACGGATGTCCTCTTTCATAATCTGAAAACTGCAGTTCTCTAGCTTATTTCATTGTCGAACGGGTTATTTAACTATATTTTGATTATCAACCATATTAAGTATAATTATGAGCTAATCTTTTATATAACGTGCCCGCAAGTCAAAAATGCAGCACTATCTTAACTTTCGGTCGAAAGCTACATAGTCGGATAGCATTAACTGAGCTGATTCCGAATATCACCTTTTGATTCGAATTCGATCAAGTTTGGGGGAGAAATCCTCAAAATATTATGAGCACCAATGCAACAAAAGACTTGCATCCCTCCGGGAAAACTTGAGATTTTGTCACCCTCCGTTCACTGTAATTTTTCGAATTTGATATATTCGGATTCACCATCAAAAACTGCCTCTAATCGTGTACCTTTAAGTCAAAAGCGATTCCAGTCGACCAATCAGGTTCTAAAAGTATCTGAATTACTTTTTATATTCAATTTTGTATGTAAAATCAGGAAAAAATAGTACTAAAATTTTGAAAAGACAATAAACCCTCAAATTTTGCATTTTCTTGAAAATTTTGCTGAATTTTGCCCACTTTTAAAAAATCAATATTTCAAAATTTTTAAAATGAAAAAGACTTTCAAAAATCCACTTTTCAGTTTTTTCTAGGTAACTCGATGAACTCGATCTAATGATCAAAAAAAAATTTTGCTTATCTTTTGAATTGCTGGCACCTTACATACTCGAAATTTGCGTTGAAAATCGAGTCGAATGATATACTTTTTCAGCCTATCCGACAACCTTTGTTTTTTTCGAATTTTCAAGGGAAAGAATTACAGAGATTTTCACCAAAAAATGAAAATCAACGAAAAATTTCGAAACATATATCATTCAACTCGATTTTCGACGCAAACTCCGAGTATGTATTTTTATTGCACAGAAAATCAGTTCTGATGGAGAAAATAGAGATATACGGGTAGAATTCCGATTTTTTCGCTCCTGACTCAGGAAGAATATACTTTCTCAGGAATGAACTAAATTTTTGAAAAAAAACGATGCACACTTTTGTTCGCCGTTAAATGCTGATTCGAATGGCGTATGACAATCGGGGAAAAGCGTTAACAACGTTACGTTTCTTTTTTGCTTTTTTCAAGCTAGTAAAACTAGTTAGAAGAAAACCCTTTTTTACCGCTGAAAAGCTAGTTCAATGCTCTACAAAATTTGCTCTAGCGGTATTTCATTTGGAGAACGACTTTCGCACGAAATTAGAACTTTGGTTTAGTACTCCGAGTTTAGGGTCTTCTTATGTAACAGCGTTATGCAATGATAAAACCAAGCTCGAGACTGCAACCAAAAACCTTCGCTTTTATAGCATAAATAGAGTATGATAAGCTGAGTTGAATGGCGTTCGAACGAACTTTGTAGTTCTCAAACTTTTCGAGATAAATAAAAAAAAGTGTATCAAAAACGAAACAGCGTTACGTTTGGACAACCGTTAACCAGACTCTTTTCTACTATATGCTACGTCTTGCTGGTCTCTTTTGAACTAGGGCTGCTGTGAAACTTGCTGCTAGCCGATAAAATACGGCACAATATCACATGATCATCGGCCGGCATGCCGTTGTTTTTAAAATGAAAGGACAATATTCGTGTGTGACAGCTAGCATCTAAATTTTGAAATGATGATGTGAATTATCTTGGACACAAACTATAATAGAATAATAATACTATAATAATCAAATGCGTAAGTTGTACTACTCTAACAATGGTTTATGTGATCTTTGAATTTATTGTAGAAAAGTAATGGATCCCTTTCCGTTTCAACCACAGGTTCTCAAACATCTACTACTTTCAAAAATTCAGACAAGAAATATCTTTTTCTCTGCTATCACGATAAATCCTTGTCTTATTAAGGGCTTTTTATTAAGGGGAACTACTTATACTTTCGCTTTTAGAAACTTGGTGAATAATGGAGGACATTGACACTCATTTAAATGAAGGTCTCCAATATGCCAGAGACAAACAATATCAGAAGGCCATTGAGAAATTTGATAAAAGTTTGACTAACAAATCACCAGCAACATTAATACATGATGTGTTCTATTTTCGTGGATGTGCTAAACGTAAACTTGGTCAATATGAACAAGCAATTAAAGATTTTGATTCCGCTATTGATGGAAAGTCGTCGAAATATGGTGATGCTCTGTACAAACGAGCTTATGCTAAACATTTGATTGGACAATATGATATGGCTCTTCGAGATTATGAACTGTTTGTTGCTCAGTGTAAACCAACAGATACCGATTTGTTAGCGAAAGGACGGTTTAGTATGGGTTGTGCGTATTTGCATCTGAATGAAAATGATAAAGCATTAGCCTGTTTTGATCAAGCAGTTACATCAAAACCAGATCGAGCAGAATATAGTCTTTATCGTGGTCGAGCATATGGTACTCTCGGTTTATATGATAAGGCTGTAGAAGATCTTGAGCGCGTTTGTTCTCAGTGCTCTGACGCTTATCTAGTGGGTTTAGCACAGAATGAACTCGGCAATCATATTGAAGCAATTAAATCATATAACACAGCTCTCGAAAATAATTTACATAATTCCGATGCTCTGTTTCGCCGTGATCTATCACATGCCTGTTTAGATGACCATTTACAAGCCATTCAAGACTTTCAACAAGCTATTAAGGAATCCGAAAGACCGGATCGTATACATTTTCGTCTTTGTATGTCAAACATTGCGCTAAACGATCATAAGGGAGCGCTATTAAATTTTAAAGAAGCACAAAAGTTAGCACCCTATCATGCAGATGTTTATTATGCTCGAGGTATGCTACATTATAATTTAGGCACGCACAATGCAGCGGTACATGACAAACGTAAAGCACTGCTGCTTGGTGACGCTGCACAGTATTACACACAAAAGTTAAATGAAGCAACGAAAAAGGTCGTACATAAAAAACGTGCGCATTTAAAGGACTAAAGATATCGGCAGATCCGAACAGTATTTTGAAAATTTTCTGATTTTTCTTTCTTTCATTTTATCTATGAAAGTTTTGTTCACTCTTTTTACAGGTAGCATTGAAGAAAAGAAAACGCTGGCTGGACATATAGAAATGAAAATGTTTTTATCCGGATTCTTCGACGCTGTTTAGAATTTTTCTCTCGTGACGGTTTCGAGTCTGTTTGAGTAGAACATTATCGGATTAGTTTCATTGAACAGTCCTGACTGCACAGAATGTGAAAATGAAATTAGACTTTGGGATTTTGACTTGAAAAATAACAGGGAAACCTATTCTCCAAAAACTGATTTTTCAGAAAAACGTCCATTTCTAAATGAACCGCTTTCAAATGACCTTTTTGATAGTTCACAGTCTTTTCTAGAAAAATGAGATGTCAGTCAGCTTCGTTAGAAATTTTACTTTTAAGATGTAGAGGAATCTGTCGCAAAGCCTCCTTCACCCCAAACAATTTGTTGATACGAGACAAAACAAGGCAAAGTCTGTATCTCACTTTTCTTAACGACAGAAAGTCGCACGGAAGTTGAAAATGTCTGGCTTTACTCAAAAAAATCTGATTTCTCGAGCTATTCTTTTGAAATGTGAGGCTGCAGAAATGTATGATAGATGTTCAGCAAACTATAATCTTTTCTGTATAGTTTCATACACGAGGGTGTCTAAATAAACAAGTTTGGGCCAGAGGTTGAAAATTCTTGGCTATTCTATCGGACACCATTTACGGTTATTTCCAAAGCCTATAATGATGATCGGAAAAACGACAACAATTGCATGAATCTTGGAGATTGTTTAGAACAAGTGGCTCCGTACAAAAAAAAACCAGATGAAACACATGAATCAGCTCAAGAATATTACGATCAAGCTAAAAGACTAGACCAAGAACAACATGGAAGTCAAATTAAACCTGATGCCTATGTTCGAACAGCTCTCAACGACTTATATTCAGCTGAAAAAATACCTCAAAAATGTACGGATCCTAAAACAGCTCCTCGAAACGATGTTGAAAACTACGTCAATAAACAATTGAGTGCCATGGAAAATTTGACCCAAGCGTTTCAGAGTGATTTAGAAAAATTATCAGCTTTCATCAGTTCTCAACAAAATTTCAATAACTTTGAACGTCCACTGAGCAAGCGCGAAGTCGCAAAAGCTGAAGTTCTAGCTATATTGAAACACAAAGTTGATATAATGAAGGAAACGGAGGATGAATTCAAAAGATCAGAAGTACAACAGCAATATTATAAATTATTGTATATTTCTGTTTGTAATGTATTTGAGGGGTCTGGAATTGTATCATCCGGTATGGTAAGTCATTGTCTTATGGGTGCATTGTCAACTGGAGCTGAAGGTTTAAAATGGGGTTTTAAAATACTAAAAGGAATTGTCAGCCATTTTACATCGTTACCAGGAGGAGCAACGGTTGAACAGGTAACACGTGGCGTTGTTTCTGGGCTGGAAAAATGGGACGCACATCGAATAACAAATGCATTAAATGTAATTGGAAAGTTAGATACACCACAGAAATTTAATGAAGCTGCAAATCATATTTCAAGACAACTAACAATTATTTATAAGTATCAGTTGGAACAATGTGTACTGTCGCAGAAAAAAGACAGTATCAACTCAACATCAGCTGCACAACAAGTTGAAACAAAATGTTGTTCATGTGTGAAAGCAACGATGGATATGGCATTGAACAAAGAACGGAAAACATCAATACAAAAAGTTACTCAATATGCAAAATCACTAATATTAGATAAAATAAAAACATTTGATGTAACAACACTGCCAACAGAAGCAGGATGTTGTGACTGTCTTCTTCAACGAAAGAGAAATAAAATTAATGACGGAGAACCTCTTAGACCACCAAAATCATTAGAAAAATTAAATGAAAAATTAATTGACGCTGTCTGCAACACGACTGGTAAACCAATAATATCTACTATATTAGGTACGGATAAATTAAAACTGGGAAAGCCAAATCCTCAAACACCAGAGGCAAAAAGAATATGACGAATATATGAGTTTTATCAGAAGCCAGGTATTGAATTAAGAACAATCGATTCAATTAAAGAAATTCCAGTTGGTAACCAGCAGCGATGGGTTAGAAATGGGATGAATAGTAAACTGTATCACTATCGTTTATCCACCATTACAGAATAGAAAATTTTAACTGGTCCGAATGCTAATGAAAACAACCTGGGGTTGAAACTTGAAAAGGAAACAGAACACTAACAGTTTCTTTACACACTTGTTTTTGTGCTTTTGAACGAAATGCTTCGTTTTTGAAAAGTACGTTTTCTTATATAAAAATTTTTAAAATAAATTGTCTCGTAGATACGAGATCATTCGCACTCTCACCGACAAAAAGATTATGTTCAGATGACTCTGGTTTAAGGAGAGCAGACCCATCCTGTTTTTCTACATCACTTTTTTGCCATATTGACTTACATGATGACACGCTTGAACCTCTCAGACGCGTTCTGCCCATTTTCTTTTAATGTTTAAAAGTTTACAGTACTTTAGAAGGTTCTACTAAAAAGTTCATTGTTCGTTAAAGAAGCGTGTTCTAACGATAAGACTGACTCCGATCGATCAACGAGATCGAGGTGTCTGTATGCTGAAATTATTGCGAAGTTAGAATGAAGTTTGGTTAACAAAAGGTTTGTTTTTTCTCGAAATGTCGGTTTTTCAGAAAACTATATTTTTAACAAAGCACGACAGAGGAAAACTTTTGCTGACGAAACTCTTCCTTAGGAGCTAAAGCGTGCACTGAGTATAATACTTTTTCCAGTGTAACGAAAAAATGTTGAGAAAAATTGTTTTAAGTTTTTTAATAATTTTAAATTCCTAAAGGACAAGGGTCGATGAGAGGCAAAATCGACCCCACTCAGATCAGTCTCATATTCAAGGGTCTGGTGTAGTTTTTCTCCCTGATTTAAACTAGCACCTTAAAAAGCCATTTTTACCACCCCCCTGGAAAAAATTTCGCATCCAAACTTTTCCACCCTCTAGTCCATGATCAGCACTTTCAGTATAATCGTATACACGATTTTGTAGAGAAACTCTCTCACTTTCAGATAATGCCTAAACCGGCCATAAAGGTCAGATAGGTTTTCAGAAGCTGCTCTTAGATATTTACTAGTTGTTTTGTATGATCTTGAAACCGGATAACAAAAAGCGCAAAATAAATTCCTTTTCCGCATGAGCTGTGTGTAGTCGACCGGTTTTCTATCGGAACATCTCTCCCAAAAATGGCTTTGACTTAAAACACTGCCCAAGTCAACTTTCGCGCCTCAGTCGCGGCGCGATCGCGATCGCTGTCAAATCCCGCATATCGCGGCACGATCGCTAAAAATTCTTGTATTCCCATCGCGATGGCGCTTAATTCTTAAACTCACGCCGTGATCTAGGCCCAATCTTATTTTAAAAAAAAATTTATTTAAGATTCGCTATACTGTCGCTATGTCGCGACGCGATCGCTATAGTTTCGCGATGTCGCGGAGGGACTTAAAAGTTTGATAAATTTTTAAAAAACTAAGTCAATGTTTCTTAGCGCGATCGCTATCTTATCGCTGTATCGCGGCACGATTCGCGATATAGCGAGTCGCGTCGTGAGAATTTACAGATATATAAACAGTAGTATCTTCATAGTCGCGTCGCGAGTCGCGATTTTTATCGCTGAGTTGCGGTCTAAGTAGGGGAGTTTCAAAGAGTCGCGGCGCGTGTCGCGATTGTTTTTCATTTTAAGTTAAAATATCGACAAACCGACTATTTTAGATTTTTATTTTATTAGTTAGACTAGACTATGAATTTTTAACTTAAAAGAAGTAAACGCGTAAATAAACTCACAAAGAAATGTCGCTAGTCGCCACAATGATATAACGGCCAACAAAAATGCAGAGCTACATGTATTCAAATCACTAGAGTGGTCTAAGTGCATTTAGAAGATTACAAGGTCAATTTTATTTTGAATGGATAATTGATTACAATTCTTTTACAATCTATTTAAGCCAAGGTAAAATTGCCCCAGAAAAGCTTCTAAGAATCACGAAAGGAGGCACTTTTCTTTGTTGGCCGTTAGATCAATATCATTCTATACAGAATCTGAAATTCTGTACAAGCTCAAGCTTCATTGACTTTTCTTCGTCTATAAGAATTATACATTTTTTACTTGTCAGAATAAAGAAAATGATGGTAAGTATAGTTCTTAGTATTTCTCCCATTTCTTCATTCTTTTCGCAACAGGCTTCAAGACCTTGATTTAGTTTTTCGTTCTTCTTTTCTTTCCGTTATAAACGGAAGTTAATTTGCTAAATTGTGGTAATTTCACATGAATTCACCTTCTTAGAATATTACACTACTTCGAAGAAAAAGGAAACATTAATGATGCCGAACAGCTTTTAATAACATACAGAAAAGATATACGAAAAAATTTATGGTGCTGAATTCGATCTCTATACTAATCATATATTAAAATATTTCCCAAATCAAGTTAGAAAAAATGGCGGTTTATACAGTCACAGCTGCTTTTCCGAAGAAAGTTTTTTAGGATATATGAAAACTCTACGAAACAGCAACGTTAAAATTGCAAGAAATATCTTCGATCGTTACTTAGTCCAAAGAAGTGTCGTAAAAGAAGAAACATTAACATTAGAGAAACTTTTCCTACATGAAGAAATTTTTGATTCTAATTATATCTGCAAAAAAGAATTCGACAATTTTTTAATAATTTTTAATCAAAATTATAATATCGATTTAAAGAATTTAAATATCTTTTGTCGTTTCCGACGAGATCTGGTTAATTACCACTCATTAATCTATCGAAGGGCAGGAGGAAAAGCCAGCTATTGTATTTCATTCAAAAATGATTCTTGTGCTACAAAAAAATGTTTTGCTGCAATTATTTTTTGCTTTCAATTAAACGGCAGTGATTATGCCTTCTTAAAATCCTTTAA